AGAGCAGCCGTTCAAGATAAAGAAACCCTCCATCTACAGAATGAAAGGCTTACAATGAAATCTGTAAGTGTGAATGCCTCAAATGTTACTATGATTGTATCATCATCTATAATTTCACAAGGAACCACGCGATCTGCCCTGAATCTTATTTCTTCAACGCTAAGAACTGCAGTAGATGACTGCAGCAGAGTTAAGACATTCTTACGTAATCCTGAAGCAAAATTTGCAGTACTGAAAAGGAACACGTATGACCTAACCAACCAAAACTACTTTGCAAATAGAAGATGTGCTGAGTGTTGACTATCTTAAAGAACCCAACCTTTTGGCAGCTTAGCTTACTAGTTAAGTATTTTCAACAGAAATGCATAGAACTTTTTAAATTATCACAAGTGAACTCTTAAAAAGATAGCATTTTAGTCCCAATTTGTTGTAAGTGTATACATTTTACATAATTGCATTTCAAATGGTTTAATCTCTTAAAATCTTACTGTTACTGCCTTTGAACCTATTCACATTTGCAGTATATTCTCAGTACTTATTCTATAGAGTACAGGAGGATGTCTGGGATAAAAGCTATACCAAAACCCTCACGTAAGTTTTAAAAGAAAAATCATATTTTGAGTCTGCTATATTTTTAATTAATATTTATTTACTGAGCTTCTAATGCTTTGTGTACTTATGTTTAACAAATTTTGTTAGGACCAAAGGAAAAAAACAGTCCCCTCTCTCTCCCCCAGCACAGTTATTTGTGAGCGCACAACGCTGCATTTTGTTAGTCTGGATTTTTCTCTTGCAAATAAACATCAACAGTGTGAGCGCAGAAGCTCCTTACATACCTGGCCAGAATCTCCCGTGCAGAACTCTGCAATATCACATTCGTTCACTGCATATCTACAGTCATAGCCTCGTGGAAAAAACTAGAAAATGAAGAATACAGTAAGATTAGGTAAAAGCAAAATGGAAAATTCCAGTTTGGAATGAATGCTCATTTTAATGCTCATACATATTTGTGGTGGGGTTTTTTGTTTGTTTGTTTGTTTTTGGCTAAGATCAGAACACATTCTCAATAACTATTTCCAAGCGATGAAAAAGATTTCAGTTTCTTCACCTTTTAAAGACTGTAAATGACAATTGGGAAGAATAGCAAACTACAACAATACTCACAAGACACGATGTATTACAGCAGGGTCCATCACTACAGTGAGCTCCATTAGAAAGAGAGCACTTCTTACAACAGTCTGCATAGCATTCCTGAAGAAAATATTAAGTGGTCTTTTTAGTTTTTTATTTAAAATAATTTTTTCTTCCCAATCTTTCCAACAAACTATCATGTACCAGCACAAAAAAATCAGCACTGACAACTTGAAATTATAAGGTGGAAGAATCCTTTGCAATGCTCAGATAGTGAAGCAAGGGGAAAACAGTGGCATACATGCTATTGCAATAAGGAGATTTAACCTTCTGAAACCTCGGCACAGGTGCAGCATAGCACAGTGCAGAAAAACAATTAAGAAGACTAACTATGTGTAACTACGTTAAAAGAGCAGAACTAGGACTCAAGGCTACAGGGCAAACTTTTGCAAAACAGATATTAAATAATTCTATATTAGAGAAGAAAACAACAGCTTCCTCATATTGTCTGAATGTGAACACCTATCTCCAGCACACCAGCGAGGAACCTAACACTGCAGGCACAGTGTCCAGGGAAAGGAAAGGGATAAATGATTCTACAGAATATGAGGAAACAGCATGTCCTTTCCAACAAAAGGACAGGAAGACAGCTGAGGTCAGATCTCAGCTTTGCACTCATTCATTCTCATTGGAAGATGATGTTTAATGTAGTCCTTCCACTGAGTTGTTTCATAGCAAAAGGCAAAACAGGTCAATTTCCAAGACCTTTCCTTCTCTCTTACCAATCATTTAACTTAATGTATTTTGTGAGAATTATATGCAACTCTTTACTTGCCATTCGAAAACCGCAATCGCATTCTTCTCCTGCTTCTACATAACCATTTCCACACTCAGTAGTTTCAAAGAGCTGAAAGCAAAAGAGCACCACAACCCAATTAATAATCAGGAATTAATAACAATAACTCTTTGTAATTCACAAATTAAACTGTGTTTTTCGATAGTAGATGAAAATCTAAGCGTAACTACAAGTGTGAATTTTATAACGTAAAATCAAAATTCCTGTCAGCCTTTATGCACAGCACTGGGCTAAAACTTCAAGGCCCTATGAATGTTCTTCAGTTCAGCTGTTCTAATAGGCAGTCAGGACACTGTGCAATAAGCCATCATAGGTATAACTGATTTTATTTTTTTTTAATTTACATCTTCTTACCCATTTCTCAGTTACAGTATTTAACTAGTTTATTCTTATTACATTTTTCACTCATATATCCATTTTACAACTCTCCACGCGCTCCCTGTTCTCTCTCTCAGAATATCTACTGCCAATAACAACCTGATACTTCCTGCAAACAGTAAGGGTTATTACAGGTGAAGTCAGCCAGAGCTGACCAGAGCTTAATCACATAAAACTGCTTTAAAACTCCTTAAAGAATAAACAGAGGGAACACTAATGCCTCATTTAAAGGAAAGAAAGCACAAACTACATGGATAATCAATAGAACATACAGTTTTGGGTGCCAAATCAAAAGTATAGTGAAACAGTAAGCACATGTACTTTCTTGTCTAGCAACGTCAATACAGAAAATTGATTTTTTATTTCTTTCTTTGTTTTTTCCTCTCTGTAAGCCATTGACACTCCTATGCTCCTGTGGAAACACCAAGATCTGCTATTCAGAACCTGAAATTCAGTTTTCCATTGAACAGACCTGGTTATTTGGCCTGCAGCTGGTAAGATAATCAAAAGAGTCAGAGAATTGCAAGAAACAAAAAGCACATACACATACATCAGGGCCAAACTAAAAAGCTAGCATCCAAAACTTAAAAGTCAGCATCATGCTGACTGCTTAACATGAGCATGTTTTAATCTAAAGTTAAACATGCTATTTTCCACCTGACTTCTACCTCCAAACTATGAGATTAAAAAATGACATACAACTTTTCCCCCCAGTTATTTCCTTTAATTTCAAGTCTGCAAAACACTAACACAGGTAACATATAAAGGGAATTTCAACCATTGTTGGGACCATTTTTACCCAAGTAAACCACATTTTTATTCTGCATGCAGTCAATTTGATAATTACTTCATATTGCCCTACTAGAAAAGTATCCTATTTTAATCACAAAAGATAAAACACTTTTTCCTTTCTCTCTACTTACTTTTTTCTCTAAATCCTTACATTCTTATTCTGTAAGCAAAAATTGCTACTTGAGGAAAAGATTAAAAAACACCAACAAGCAAATTTTTTTAGTAAACTGTGCAAGGTAGTTTTCCATAGCACAGAAAACACATTCTAATGGGCCATGTGATGCTGAATTCCACAAGAACAGCAAGTTTGACATCATGATTAAACAGAGTATTAATTATTGATTTGAAAAAAGTGCCAAATGGAGCATTTTTACACTACTTGGCTGCTTTAGAGGGATGTCATGCTCGCGTCACCATAGAAAAAAATATGACCTTGGTGAGTTTTTAATGACAAAAATGGATGGATGGTACAAGGAAATAATTATAAATCACATTTTGTTAATTTTACATCAGCAGTGAAATGAACTTCAGTAAAAACAGAAGCTGCTGCTGTTTATATGCAGTAAACTATTTATTTGCCAATTAACAAACTAAGAAGTAGATTCATTCCTTTCAGTAACATCAAGCAAAAAGCTCAAGAATTGAGTGAGCGTAGAGCATGCACTTCTGGATTTATTTTGCACTACGTCCAGCTTAACAGGCAGTGCCTTTATGCTAAAGTGATGTGTGTCTAGCTATGCAAATCAACTGCAAGGTTTGTCATTATTTGCAAAATTAGGAATTAATAGAAAGCACATTATATGATTCCTCTTAAGGTTACTTTTAAATGCTATGGAAGTGAACATCCAGTTAACCACAAGTAGCCTCAAGAAAATCTGCACACGGATGTTTTAATAAATCCGAGAACAGATGTTTTAGTGGAACAATTTCATTTTCACTATGTTTAGCAGAGGTAGTGACTACCAACACGTTTATTACCTTTGTTGGCCTGTTGAAAAGACAGGCACCTCCCCCACGAAGTAAAAATTCTTTGTATTCTGCTATGCTGCACTTGGAGAATTTTCTGGAATGATATACCCTAAAATAGCAAAGAATCAGCTGTGTAAATGCCTTGAAATATCAACTGGAAGGGGGCAGAGGGATCATACCATTTTTTGTACTGTAAATCTCTTCCAGGTTTTCATTTATTAGTACTAAAACACACGGACGATGTCCAGTACATAAACGTTAATGTCAGAATGTAAAGTGTGAATTCATTCCGGAGCGCTCAGTTACTGAGAGTAATGACGTACCCTGTTTCCTCCATGATGCAACCACCCCAGGATTCAGTGCAGTCACACTCTTCTCAGACAAGATCAAAATACAACAGAAAAGGAAAGCAGTTATAAATACCCTTGCAATAAAAATAAAGTACTCACAATAAACTGGACCATGACTAATTATACAAATCGTACAAAAATTAACAGACTGCTTGGCTTTTCAGCCCTAAAAAAGAGACCAACTGAAGAAATATTAATATACTTAAAATTAACGTGGTCCTTTCCCATCATCATATAAAAGTGCACACTTTCAACACAGTGTTTCAGGCAGTTTAGAATGCTAAACATAGCGGGCAAGATTCTTCCCCATGTGCTCTCAGCACAGGCAGTGTGAGTACACACAGTAACAGTGATTTTACAACTGCTCCCTTCACGTTGTGTCCTAATTCATAGATTTCTGAAGTGATTCTAAAATCAAGTCACTCTTATTACTCAGTTTTACAGAAGGAACAAAGAGATAACATAACCAAATTGCTTTAATTTCTTTAGCCCCCAAAATGACTTTTGCAGCAGCTTTTGTAATGTGTCAGGGCCACATCAAGCTAATTTTGTAGACGTGAAGCAGCCAGATACCAAGTTGGGCAAATGTCACTAGGTTACAGATTCTTCAATTTTTTCATCTGAAGTAAGGCGGTTTTTCTTTGTTTCTTTTTAGGTCCGGTCTATGGTTTTTAAGCTAGCAGTGTTTTTGCACGATGCATCTGAACGCTGATTATTAATTTAACCTCCTAACTCAAGACATTGCTGAGGTCATTGCAAAACAAGTGCTACACTAGAGATTTTCACTTGGTTAAACTCGAATATTGGTGAGTATATTTCAAAAAACAAAATTCCTCATTCTTTGGTTATAAGTATGACGTTCATTTCAAATATGACAAAGTAAAGAGTTCTTATAGCTTGAGGTAAGAAGGACAAGAGGTGGCTCCATATTCATGTACATACTCGGTTTCCTGGCAGCTGGCTCCCACTGTATTCCAAGGTTCTGAGCAAGGCTTTGTGCTAATTCCTGTGCCATGGCTAAGGGGAGGCCATACTACATTGGAAGAAAAAGAAAAAAAGAAAAAGATGAATACAATGCCAGCTCATTTTGCCTTACTATGCACCTAGTATTTCACAAAGTGACTCTGTCCAGCCAGTCACAATTATTTGTGCATACAGTAAAAATGAACACAATGAAGTACCTCACAGAAAAAATCCTCCTCTCTTATTCTGAGGGGAATCCTGTACACTGGTCAACCTACAGAGAACAGTCTGTTTGATATATATATATACATGCAATTTAATTACTGTATAACATGATTAGTCCATGTCAAAACATGTGATTGTTGTACTAGATCTAAGACTGCACTGAGGTTAAAAATAAGAAAAATATCAATACACAGGGGCTAGCTTTAATGATTTTAGCTTTTAAATTAAAAAAAAAAGTTAGAACTACATCATCAGTACATCAGAAGACCAAACCTCTTACAGTAAAAGAACCTAAAAGGAATTACGGTGTTATATTTCAAATATCCTACTCTGAGATTTTTGTTCCATATTTGCCAAATATGCTAAAAAAATTTCAGACTCCAGTGAGAGTAAAATGAAGACAGAGGGGATTCACTTTTAAACAAAATGCATAGTGGGCAGTACTTTAGTGATAACACAAGAAGGTTGGCTGCAAAGTATCAATCTTTTTAATATATGAATGATCTTTAAAGTCTGAATACTGAAACATATGAACTCTATGGTTATAAAAGTTTCTATTTTACTTCAATTTAGTGGTAGAAAAAGTTACCTCATTCACTCCTACTCCTCTGGTCACAGAGCAAACCCCTCCAAAATAACTTAAGCTGCTCCTTTTGTAATGAAATGTCACATTCCTTATGAACAAACAAAAATAAAGTGAGCATAACGTGTTAACATTGAGCACCAAGAACTTACCGAATATTAAATTTCCACATTACACACACAGTAGTGCTCATCTAACATCAACGGTTGGTATAAGTTTACAAAAAGAACACTGACGTAAAAAGAGGTGAGACACAAACGTCAGCCAAAAAACACTATTTTTATCTTTAACAGTCAGTATCAGTCCCAACCCACAGACAGAACAGCCAGAAACAAACCGAGCAGATTGCTAAGAAAATACAACAACATTTCCTCTGAAAATATAATAATGAATACTTTGCCAGCAGGAAGGTGACTGTCCTCCTGTACTCAGCTCTGGTGAGGCCACACCTCAGGTACTGTGTTCAGTTCTGCATCCCTCACTAAAAGAAAGACACTGTGGCCCTGGAGCATGCGCAGAGAAGGGCAGCAAAGCTGGGAGTAGTCTGGAGCACAGAGGTCTGACAAGGAGTAGCTGAGGGAAGCAGGATTGTTCAGTCTGAAAAAGAGGAGGCCTCAGGGGCCATCTTCTCTCTCTTTAACTATCAGAAAGGAGGTTGTGGCGAGATAGAGACCAGCCTCTTCTTCCATTAACTAGCAATAGGACTAGAGGGAATGGCTTCAAGTTGCACCAGTTTCAGGTTGGATATTAGAATGGTCAGGTGCTGGAATGGGCTGCCCAGGGAGGCAGTGGAGTCACTGTCCCTGGAGGTGTTTAAGAAACATTTAGATGTTGTACTGAGGGACATGGTTTTGTGTGGAAATACTGGTGACAGAGGGATGATCATTAAATTAGATCAGCTTGGAGGCCTTCTCAAACCTTGAGATTCTGTATTCCAGTTTATAATCTGTCAAGAAGGAATTTGTACTGAAATGATCATTCACAATGGTGATACACCTAAAACAAAACCATTCAAGTTCTGTTTCAACTCCAGATTTAAATACGGACGTGCTAAGTGAAGTGCTTCATTTAGTGGTTGGCATGGCTGCAGGTGGTTGGAACTAGATGATATTCTAGATATTGAGTCCATTCCAACCCAAGCCATTCTATGATTCTCAAATTTGGTTAGCATATGAGTGCAATAATATTAGACTGTCAGTGTTCCTTGGCTCCATTTAATAAAAATATCATCTCTACTTTTTATTTTGAGGAATAACAGTGTTTCAGAACACTGTGGGAAAGATTTTACCATAACTATTACTTTTTTGTTTTTTGAACAACATAAACAGCAAAAGTAGTAAAATTGACAATTGACCCCAGCATGCACGCATAAAATGGGATCTTATCAGATGCACAGATACCTTCAGGAAAGTCAGCCCCAGCCTTGTGTTGTTATCCTTTTCAGATGTGTTATTACTTTGAACACTCTTATCTTTCACTCAGCTATGGATTTCACCTTCTTTGGTACCTCATGCTGCCACATTTAGCTTATTCTGTTTATTTTTACAAAGATACTGTTTTATAAAACATCACTTAATAGCAATTTGAGATTTCAGATACTGAAGCAGGAAGAAATTCAGACAAGGTCCCTGTAGCAGTTTTCAATCACTTGTCACTCCTAAAAGCTGAAACTTTGCATTTACAAAAGAATCTTGATTCACAATCAAGACAACAGTTAGAGAGTTAGAACATCTATTCAGCAAGTAAGACAATACACACATAAAAGTAATTAAAGTGCACATCATCAGTGCTTGCATATCTAATGAGAAACAAAATTAGTATTGTTTCAGCATCTATATTAAGGCAGTGCAGCTATGACAGAGGATGAAGAATTTTCTCCAGCCTTTATCTTAATCCTCCCCAGTAAAAAATGAATAATAAGAGGAGTATTTGTTATTCCACCCTCTGCAGTGTGGCTGGGAAAGGGTTAAAATCCTTATGCTTAACAGTGAACCGCACTCTTCCTTCTCTTTACTACGCTGTGAAGTAATAGAGGTGCCCAAGGTTGATGTTGTGGCTAACTGCCCAACCTGCCCTTCCCTCAAAAAGGCAGTGCCTACCTTAAGAGTCTATTGTATCCCTGCAGGAAGAGACCTCCTACTGTTACAGTAACACATAACTGCAGTTACATGTTACTTACATTACATGCAACTGTAGCTACATGTGTAAATAAACATGTTTTGGCGGCAACACATAATGCTGTCAGTCTGCCCTCTCCTGCTCTTCATTGTGCCTTACAGATCATTAAGAAAAGCAAGTGTCCTTAAGGGCTCATCAGGAGACATTTCAATTGTGTGACACTGTCTCCAGGCTGCAAAGACATTAAGCTTTCATTTTGCACTTATATTATACATACATATAAATATGACCATGGTACATACTACGTGCATTACAAATAGATTAATGCACTAAAAATAGGTATAACTTGTTAAAGCAGGCAGATGTTGATGTAATGAGCAACAAGCAAAAAGGTAATTAAAAGACAGGTACAGAAAAGCAATAGACAGAAAAGTAGGTAGAACAATAATGGTCTTAATCACTGTATAACAGTACATACGAGAGAAGGTGCACAGCATCAGCGTGCTGCTTGATGTAGTGCTGCCGATACTTGGAGAAATCATGAAGCATCTGCAGTGGGTCAGGGTGAATATTAATACGATCTCTGTCTGTCCAAGTTTCCACAGCAACAAGGACCACCCTGGTGTTCAGCTGTTCCTTGTATATCTGAAGGCAGAGACAGGACAGGCACAGGAGTAGAACACTGGGTCAGACATGCACAGTTAGCCAGTAAGAGTAAAGCGGAAGGACAAGAGGGATAAATCAGGAGGGAAACACGGGGAAACAGTTAGCTGGTAACGCCTTGGATTTCCTGCAAGTTAATCATCTCATCAACCTAACTTCTGATTGACGAGACAAAAAAATAACAACAACAACAAAAAAACAACAAAAAATTCCAATAAATTATCTTCCTTCATTTTTTTTTAGTGATTCCCTGTTCTCTGTAATTCGCTATGACTTAATTCTCACAAATGACTTAATTCAGTCTCTTACAAAACCTGAACAAAAATCCACAAAGTAGAAATGTAAAGGTACACAGGGTGATCTCAAAAAAAAAAAAAAAAAAAAAAGCCAGAGACAGTTCTTCAGTCAAAAATAACTTCCTCTAGTACAAAATTTAAACCACAGAGCTTGATTTTCATTTATAAAAACATCACTTCATGTAGCGTAAGCAACGCAAGAATATTATATTTTACATTAATTTTAATGTCCCCGTAGTAGTAGATAAGTAAACGACAACCAGGCCCTAACCATTACAAAACATCCTTAAAAGATCCATTTTAACATTGTGCACGGTATTTGCTACTGAAAGAAAACAGCTGCTCTCTTTAGGTTCAGGACATAAGATGTTTTGTTGACATTTTGTTGACCAAGGGAATGACAGATCTCCAAGATATATTCTTTATCTGTAACAGACAGCCTGCTGATCTAAAGCATTTCATGGGACACAAAGAACACCTACTGAAACATGCTCAGTTATGATCTAAAAAGCTTTTCATAATTAATCCATTAGCTGCTTAATCTATACATTTGTAAAAGCTACTCAGTCATTCCATAAGTCACCATATTAAAGATATGTTTTCATTAGCTTGTTTTCAAGCCATAGCTGCGGTACACAATGAGAACTGCCAATATCTTCCTTAAGTTGTGGTGTTTGTAATGAACAAACTAGCACTAGCTAGCACTCTAGACTTTCTGTACTTTAAAAAATGTCAGTGCATAATATTCAGAAACAAAGGAGGTACATACAGAAGAGACAGAGTGCTACCAGACAAGCTCAGTTTTATCCAAGCACTTTTAAAGAAGAAAGAATACTAATATGCTTTGCTGTGAGGGAGGCAGGCTGAGGACATGCACAAGAAGATGGTTACATGTTTGAGAAAAAATGATAAAAATTAGAACTGAGATTATATATGGCTGGATCAATGTTTGCTGAGA